CATATTTTATATACATCGCAAACATAACCAAATTTTAAGAATTAAATTTCGCAGGTTTTCATTTTTGCTTTTTCAGGGTAAATTTAAAGACTACTTATAAATATTAGCAGCATCTATAATTCATTTGTGTCTGTTTAATTGATTGTGCTTCACAACCTGCCTTATAATAGTTTTGTACCATTTAAATTTTACTTTATCTATGAACTGTTTGTGGTAAATAATATAACCTATTATACTGTTTATACATTATGTTTAGGTATCAAAGTTAGAAGGTAAACTTACTAAAATGTGTTTCCAACACTTACACATCCCAATCCAGTTAAACCAGAGTGCATTGATTTAAGTTGACTAACATCTCAGTCCTAACCCATCAATCAGAAACAAATCTCACTACTTTTAGAACTTATTTGCAAGTAAGTTTGAATAGGAACATTGCCTTTGACTAACCCTTCTCTGCAGAGTGACTGGCATCTCAATTCTATATACATTTATTTTCAGCCCCACTGTTTTCAGTGGAACATGCTGCATGAAATGGCTATAGGATCACCGCCTATAAGCCTAAATCCGCTTATAGGCAATCACTCCATGTTAACCAAGCTGTGAATCCTGCAAATAAGGTCATGTGAAATGAAGATAGGGAAGGGAAAGAAATATATATAGGAAATAAAACTTCCTAGAAGTCTAATTGGAAAAAAAGAAACTTCTATAAACTTCTTCTATCTCTAATTCAATAGTATTTTTCCTGATTCTAAAATACATACAATAAACAAAAAATAATCACTTATTTATTATTTTTACAGATCATCTCTACCACAGGCACTGAAATGCAATGTTTACATTTATGGCTGACTCATTAATGCCATCCTATGCAAGAGGCATCATTTTTTAGAGTCTTGTAAAAGATAATAAAATGCTAGACAATTAGTCAGCAAGGAAGTTCAGAGCTTCCTAATGCTAGAGCAATAAAGTAAGTTAACTTTTCAGAGATGTAAGTACAAAATTCAACTGACAATTCCATTCAAAAAGGCAGCTGAGGGCTCTGGTAAGACAGTATAAAGGCACTGCAGATTTTTGACAAATTAGAAAGTGAGACAAAGAGCTACAATCCTGAAATTAGTTCTGCAATAGCAATACCAATGAATTATCAGAAGTGAGGCGGCTCGAGGAAGCAATTTGCCCCTAGAAGCTCCAGTTTTCTGGATATACAGTAAGGTGCCCATGTAGTCCCTTGACAGTTTTGGAATGATCTAGCAATACTTGGAGGATGTGTCACGTAACCAGGTATTGCAGATTCACATATATAAAACTTTCCGTTTCTGTGATAACTTTGTAGCCACTGAGCTTTCAGAACATAACATCATGTTGCAATTTTTGAATGACTGCAACACAAAGCACCTCCTATTTAAAAAATGAGTTTCCCATGCTTCCAATTGCTCTTAAGAATGACTAAGCAATCAAGCTATAGTAGCCCTTATGTAATAAATAACCAATTGAAAATGAAGTGTGCCTTGCCATGCAGCAGCAATCAGCTTTTATCTCTGCCCAATCAAGTTGACATCTGAACTGCCTAATCCTCCTTTTGTAAGGCACATAAGACTTTGTTGTCACTGTTGGTTTTGTGAATTGTCTCTATAAGCTGCTCTGATTTCTTAAAGATGACAGATCCCAGTGAACAGCCAAGCTCTACTGCACTGCAGTCAATGCGACAGTTGAGATTAGGGTACTGAACTGAAGACACTAGGATTTAATCACCTGTCCACATGTAACATATTGACCGTCAGCCCTCAGAAGATTAACATAAATCTGTTCAGAGCTGCAAACCAATTACTGGATTCAAAAAAGCAAGGAACTGGGTTTCAGTATCCACACATTGAGCTTAACAATGTGTGCAGCGTGTGTCAACTAGTTCTGAACTATGCAGGGCTTAATAGAGAAATATACATGCTGAAATCCTTTATCATTAGCCATTTAAAGCCACAACCTACTACACTTCAGCTGGTTACCAAACTTTCCAGCAGATTCTCTGGACACATGTACACCTTCACTGAATTTCACTTATATGCATCTAAATTATCAGGTAGCCTAAAATGTACATATTCCAGGTTTTGATGTAAAACCTGGAATTTGAGAAGGCGAAAGAATCCACACCACACATATATTTGGGAAAATTCCCTATGATGTGTAGCAATGATGAAGACACTATTTTTGTTTCTATGAATAGAACTTCTTTGTGATCTTCATTTAGAAATGATCAGAGAGTTTAAAACCACTTGAATCCATGTTATTCTAATTTTGGTTAAACTACATAGCCGAGAAGTTGGTCTACATCCAACAGGTTAAAAGTCTGAAAGTTATTAAAGTGAACATTCTTTCTGGAATCTAACATGAAATCATGACTAGCTGAAAACACTAAAACGTTCTGAAAGCTGCTTCTCTTTCAAAGGGGCGGGAGCAGCTGAATAGAGAGTAAGTGTGCCGTTAACAAGCTTGTCAAGCATCTAAGAAATCAACTTATTAGAAATACAGTATTCTAAAAATATGACAATTTTAAACAAATAATTTGAAGGTTAACACTGTGCTAACAAAAACATTTATTTATCACTAAGTTCTACCGGAACGTGGCAGTACCACTACTAAAATGACGCATTTTGGATTGCAGTGTTACTTATTTTTCTCCATATCATAGGAAATGTATAGAACTTAAGCAAGTTTGCAATTAATATAACTTAAGAGTGAGCTGGAAATAAGTTGCGAGTTTATTTTTGCCCCCTGCAGCAATTATTTATTATTTTAAAATCACTGAGCAAAAATGGGTTTTTGTCTGTCTGTCTTTAGATACAAAAGGACCCATACCTGCATGGATGCATTTATGAAAAGTCTGCACCCACCATTACATCAGAAGAAATGTACTAAATTCTACTTATTAACACTTCTTGTCTATGACTTATTTGCAAGTAAACACCTTTAAGGTCAGGTTATTACTCTTTCATTATTACACATGTGAGGTATTTCAGACTAGACAGCTCAGACATGCAACTTTTAATAATGTAAACTCAGATTCACGTCTTTGAAACATCACCTGTTAGAGACACACAGCCTTTATAATTAATACACTAGCTAAGGACATGTGGTATACAACTATATGCAATCATAAGTTGGCGGTCTAATCATTTATGGTATCGTGTTTAGAAACTGACAAAAATTTATCCGATTTTGCTTATATGCTTGATTTCACAATTTTTCTCTCACTCATATTCCAGCAGTTTTGCAAGCCCTAACTCATACAAAGGTTTGCATGATCGAATCAGAAAACTTCTATATCTATTGCTGTAACTTAGAAGAGCAATTCATTGTACATGAAATTTTAAACAAAGTGACCTACTCTGCGTATTTGGCGAAAACACAGATAGGACTTTCCAAATCCTGAAGGTTTTAGCTAGTGAAATATGTCGCAATATTCCCAGTGGCACCAAGTTGTCTCACACAATATCAAGAATGGATGCAGTGGGCACCAAAACATAGGGGGGAAACATTACTGTTTCAGAAGCTGCATATTCTATTACCCATAACTTCTTGCAATTGAAAAGCACATTCAGTTCAGTATTACGCTAAAAGCAACTTGGAACCCCAATTTAGAACTTAACAGATTTTCTAAATAGCCTCGATGAACCTGAAATTACTCCGTAAAACAGAGGCATTGGCTCACAGGTAATTACACCCCTGTCCCCTGCCTCTAGTATGCCTTGGGGTAGAGCAGCATTGTACTACATATAAATATCTATACTCCAGGCAGCTACAGTACCCCTGCTAAGTGCCACTGAAAGAAAAATAGGCTTCACATATTTGTCTAATGTAATTGGCCAGCTGGACACATTTATATCCACTTTTAAAACAAATGCAAGGAACTGATATATATTTTAAGACAATGGCCTTTATGTTTCATTCTATGTATGCTACTGAAAGGCATTTCGTCTCAAGCCAGGAGTCTATAGACCACCACTGAAATACTGGCAGACTGCCCTTCTGCTGCTTAATTATCTTAAACAGTAGCAGGTATGAAGTATGGGCAAGAAATATTTTATTTTAAAAGACCTATGTATGTTATTTAAGGATGGGGCTATCCAAGGTTTGTCAATGACATAAATAAAGCACAAAGTTCTATTATTCAAATATATTTTCAGACCCGCAGCATTATGAAAGTACCATTACCCTCTTATGATTTCCTAAGTCTACTAAACTACATGCAGGAAATATAACAATTTTACATTTATGTATTTTTTAAAATATCCTGTAGAGCCCCTGCTCTTTTATACCCAACTTAAACCTGAAATTTTAATAAATAGTAAAAATTAGCTTGCTAGGATATGATCTAGCCTTGGTCAACTTACAGCTAAAGTTGGAAAGCTTGTAAAAAGAATGTGACTTGTTTTCCCATTCACATGTTCCCAATTCCTCCATCTCAGAAGGAAGTGTGTAAATGCAAATATGTGCTGGCAGAGATGCTGTGTCTAAAGCTGCAGAATTAAAACAACAGTGACGTGGTGCACACAACGAAGTTTAAAAGGGCATTTGCTGTTATGCCAGCTTATTTCTTCACTGCACTGCTTGATAACTCACAGGGCAAGTACTCCAAGGTCAAAAGCATTTGGTGAAATGTTCAAAGACAAACAAACCTGAGCACACTTCACAATATCAAAACACACCAATGACGTGAACTAACTTCATGAAACTTTAAACACTCATGCAGCTGATGGAGAGAAGAGGAGGCGGGGAATGGAAAACAAACCCTGAGCAACTTAACTCTGTTGGCTGGTTTGAGTGCAAAGTTACTTCAAAGCCATTGATTACGCTAGGGCTGTAGATGCCTGTGCCACATACATTCCCGGTACATGTCAGCCCACGGCCACATGCATTGCAATGCCTACATGGGGTACATCAGGCATCACAGGGCTGCGATAACAATCTATTTTACTTCTAGATAGAATTGCATGTGTACTTACATTGCAAACGTTTGGATGTTCTGGTTAGTCCTTGAGATATTTTCCCTTCTTGGGAAGAAGAGACAGACAGAGAGAAAGGGAGACAGATACTGAGAGTGGGGGAAAGAAGAAAAATAAAAGCCTTTAGTTCTTCCAGCCTCGTAAGATGTTCACCACCTGGTTCAACATGCAGCCTCCTTTAACCACATTCACACACACACACGCACATACGCGAACACATGCACACACACCCTTGAAAATCAATCCAATGAGCAGCCAGAAGCTATCTGGTGGTGGTGGTGGTGGTGCTGGTGGTGGTGGTGTGTGTGCATCTAAGCGTGCAGGAGGCGAAAGTGCCCGAGCTGCTGGTCGGATTAAAAGTAAGCGGACTCGTCCTGAGAGCGTCCAGGAAGGAAGTGACAGGAGGAGAATGGGAAAAGAACAGCTCACAGGCTTTGTAACATCGCGGAACAGAGGAAGGAGGGGAGAGGAGGATTCAAAACTACACGCCCGGCGAAGCTCCTCTTCCTTCTGTCCTCCTCCTCCTCCTCCTCCTCCCCCTCCTCTCCGCCCCCCCTCTCCCTCTCCCTCTCCCACAATCCCAAACGAACGACTCTCTTGCCGAGCTGGAGAAATAATCAGTTTCACTCTTGAAAAAAGGGGCGGGATCACATCCCGAAAGCGTTTTAATAAAACAAACAGAGCGAGCAGCTAGAGTACAGCAGAGGCGGCGGCAAAGCTCCCCCCCCCCACGTTGCCCCTCTCTAGTCTCAACGAGATTGATAAATTACTCCACTACCCTACTTTAATTATGTATATGGTATGCAGAATAAATCACCCAACATCAGGCACCTCAATCAAGCACTTTTTAAATGATAATTGCATCTTGGCTGAATCAATCTTGCCATGCCTGACATTTTGCTAATTTTAGTTTTTTACCGCTGGGGGTAAGCTGGGGGGCTGGGGCTGGATCGTGGTTAGGGGAGCCGGGGGAATGACATGTGCCACCGAGCAACCTGAACGACAATCCTTTATTATTATCCACCACCAAGCGATTCGCGGCAGAAGGCAGGGAACACGCACCTCGCGCCTTCCGGGCTCCGCTTGGCCCCGCCAGCCTGCCACCCGTCCCCAGGGGAGAAGGTGAAGCGGGAAGGGGGGGCCTCGCTGACGGAACCGTCCGGGGTGAAGCCGTCTTGACCAAAACCAGCCATAACCACCTCGAAACACGCGGAGCTTGGATGTTAAAAGAACCGGGGCGGGGGGGAAGGGGGAGGAAGCTCTAGCGGCAGTACTTGCAAAAGCTCCAGAAGCGGTTTGGATGGTAGGAGTGGATTTGGCGGGCGGCGCGGGGAGAAGGGATGCTGCTAAAATGCTCCTAAATCGCAGCATCTTCCTTTGGCCAAGCGCCCTGCTTCGCCTTTGCTGCCGCCGCCGCCGCCGATAAAAGCAGCGCATCTCTCGGCAGAGGTCGGGCGCGCTCGGGTGGGCTTCGACCCAAGCGCTGCCCGGCTGACATGGACTGCGGACCGGACAGGGCTGCGCGGCCCTCGGGGGAGCTTAAGCAGCAGCCACGGCGGGGAAGGGGGCTCCGCCGAATTCGGCGGCCGAGGCAGCGGCACTCGCTCCACGCTGTCAGGCCAGACCAACTTTTGGATCCGTTTGGCACATCCCCCACTCGCCCAGAAAACCCCAACCCCCGAAACCTTTCGCTGGGACAGGATGGGATGCGAGGCAGGCGGGTGTATTTTTATCACGGCCTCTGACATTTCCTCCTCTCCTCTCCTCTCCCTCCCTCCATCTCTTTTGCACTTCGGGCTATAAACCAACCCTCCCGTTCCCAAACTCGTTAAGCTTCCGTCTCCAAGCGCTTGGGTGACTTCACTTACCCAGGTCTATTCCAAGCGGCACAGGAAACGGGCGCGTGGGCTCCGGGGGAATGATCGAGATGCTAAAGTTTGGGGGAAATGCAGATAAACATGAACGCACGCACACACGCACCACCGAGCTTTGCAAGGAGGGAGGCTGGCTAGATAAAATAACCGTTTCCTTCTTTCCCTATGTCTAAATCATACCCTTCAGGCGCTGCCTCGTTCTGCTACTTTGCTCGCAGTGCCCCGTCTAAGCCGCTCTTCACTCTGCTTTCAAAAACTGCGCTGTGCCAACTCACCACCTCAGCATCGCGCGAGCACAAGCCAAGTTGCCCCTGAACTCGCGACTGCGGGCTGTGACCCTGCTAGGCACACTTACCTGGGAGTAAGCCCCACTTGCACTGACTTCTAAGTTTGGGATGGCACTGCCTGATCTCTGCGTGTATCGTGCCCTGAAGTGACCACTGGGGAAAAGGGACCGTCCACCGAGGCGCTTCTTGTAATCTGCCCTCTTGATCAGTGGTTTAACTCCGTGTCCCTTCTGATTGTTCATGCGGAGTGGGGGTGTGGGAACAATTCAAGAAACGTGTCCGTTGGGTTTAGGACGGAGGAAGGCATGGATTGCAGGGAAACAAGATAGACGTTCCAGATAGTAATACTATTTTTGCTTTAACAGTCACAAGAACGAACACAGTAGCCAGTCCCATAAAGGAAGAGACACAAAAGAAATTAAAACTACAGTAGGGCAATACCTGATTACAGCCAACTACAGTTTGTCACTAAAGAGCAAGCAAGCTTTGAAATACTGCCAAACTTTTCTTTGGGCAGAATGTGCAGTGGAAAATATGGGGTGGAGGGAAGGGGAAAAATGGACATGGTGGAAAAGCCCAAGTCCATACTTGGAAAAATGCTCAGGAACAACCTCCCACTTCCCATATTGCTTATTTGTTTGTCACCCAGCCTGAAGAAAAAGTTAAGGGAAACTTCAGAGCTTGCTTTGTACAAGAAATTAGTTGAAACAAGGGAACATATAAGCCAACTGTTATTTTCAGACTTTTTTATCCTAATTGACCAATGCAAAACCAAAAACAAACAGAAGAATGCAAAACCACCAAAAGTCTGGCATGGTGGGGCATGGAGGTTGGAGTATTGGGCTGGGGATTTGGAAGATGCAGCTTCTAATCCACACTCAGCCATTAAGCTTACTGGGTAGCTTTGGACCAGTAGCTCACTCTCTGACTAATCTACCTCATAGGGCTGTTGTGAGGATAAATATGGAATGGAAGAGAGCCTTGGGTTCCTTGCAAGAGGAAAAAGGCAGGTATAAATGCAGTGACATGATAAATGAAGTATTAAAATAGTATATCTGATTACATATTCTTACTGGTATGAACATACATAGGGTCCAGAATTCCATGGATTTCTTTTATTAAAAGAAAAGGAATTGGATAGATAATTCTTCATAGAGGATAAAGGAACAATGGAGACAGAGGTACACTTAGTCCAGCGGAAGTCCCCTGACTTGGTTGCCAAAAGCTCCACTGGCACAGGTGTTCCATGGTGATGGTCTGCTAGCAGAGCCAGGGGAAGCCTCCTTCCCACACAGGAACTGGTATGTCTTGACATCAGCCCCCAAAAGGAGAAAAGAAAAAGTTGCCCTGCCTTCCCATCTTCCCACTGTAAATTAACTCCTTACAACTGGATCTCCCCAGTGCCTTCCCATCAGTGAAAAGTAGGTTTGTTGTGCCTGTTTACCAATTGAATTGCTCTTGCTTTATTGTTTCTTTTTAGGTAGCACATATATGCCAGGAGGGAGGGATGAAATGTCTAACATGTTCTATAACATCTGAATGATTCATGATATTGTGTGGAATGGCACCATGATGGGGTATTCTATTTAAGAGAAGCACCAAATTCTTAACCACGACTTCATAAAACCTGTAATATGTATCACATGATTCGAATGTTGGCATGTGCAAAATGTTAACTTCTCTAGACCTGACTGCATCCCTTTCAGCATTTTGTACCACATCTGGCACACAGGTGGAACCATGGAGGGTGGTATAAGAAATAGATTAAGGTATCAATAGATGAAGTGAACAGAAAGTGCCTATGAAGGTCAGTCTTTTGTCTGAAGTGGATTCAGATTTCAGCCATGTTTCTACAGATGGCATAATTTCCACTATAAGCTTCCCTTTGGGCTACTGGGGAATTTTGTTCAGGTACAGTGAAACAGTGCATATCTGCATTTCTCAGGTCCACATCCAACAGTCTGGTCACTACATAATATCGTATTCAGAAAGAAATGGAGGAATGGATGATCCCTAAATCATTCCCTAACAAAACAACCAACCAACCAACCAACCAACCAAACCTTGGAATGGTCATGTGATTATCAGTATGAGGAACACCTCTCCCCCCCCCCCCCCGCCATTGTTATCCCAAAAGAAGGGAATGGTTTCTATATACACAGAGGACATTCTAGGTACACAGAAGCATAAAATGCTATCAGTTAGAAGAAAGTGACACAAAGAGATTTTAAACAAACAAAGCAGCTTGACATGGATTTTTGAACTTCCAGAGCTGAAGGCACAGAGGCAAGAACATTTTAGAAAAAGCCATTGCCTGGACCAAGAATGTCCAGTGTCATACTAAACACCAAAAACAGGAACACTGTGCACCTTGATTGACAGCCATCAGCATACACACATACACTCACACATACAATCAAAGGAGGTCAGTAAATTAACAGCCAAGTGACACAATTCTATTGCAATTGTATATTTTAAGGGCTTATTCACATACAATTATCAAGATTTTGCAGCAGTGTATAAACCCTTCAGGATTCAGTTGCTCAGTATCACATAGCATCAGGCCCAGTTTGCATGACTGGTGATTACCATCATTGTGACTTACAAACTGTTGCACATCACTAGCCTGGCTTCCTATGTGCTTATAATGTATACCTTGAAAATGGCAATGATGCAAACAATAGGTAAATGTTTAGGGTTCCATGAATGCCCCAACACAGATCACATACTGCAGTGCAGGAGTTTGCCTTTTTAAGTCTGATACACCTTACGAGTTCTTCTGTGGGTTCACACTTCAATATATGAATATACGTACTTCAATATATACCTTTCTTAGGAGCAAGCTGTACCATACATTGTATCAACCCACAACTTGTCAGTGTTAAGCATTCAAAGGCCTGACCCACCCATGCATGCCTATTCTCAAACATTCATCACTTAGAACCCCTTGCAGGGAAACTAATGTTGAAAAGGCACAAAAGTGTAAGTAGACATAAAATGTAGCTTAACATCACATCTGCATAGGTTCTTCTAGGACTGGACTGAAGTCCTACTCATAATGCTCCATCGTTGTAAATAAAGTATGCAGCTAACATTCTGTTTGCATATATTTTAAAACTATGGTTGTAGTGTGCTCTACAGATAGCTTGCCTTGAGAATTGTCCAGAAGTTTTAGTTGGTACAAAATGGGGCAGCTAGG